TTGCTTTAATACTGGTTTTCCAAAGGGCTTAATCCTGTTAATGTGATGAGGGGAGGGTGGGAAGAGCGTTCCCATTGGGCCCCGAGCGGAGTAACTGGTCAGACTCCCTCTGTAAATCCCTCTTGTTCAACAGGAGTGTCCCTCCCACGTCCCGGAGTGGGATGGTTTTTTATCGAGGAGGGTATTTTCAGAGTGAGAAACAAAAGAGATTAAAATATTTCCTCTGCCAGGTCATGGTGACTTTAGAAAACTAGAATAATCTATCATGTTGCAGATTTTATTTTTGTCGTGCTTTGTGGGAAATTAAGGACTTGTTTATGTTCTCTTAGAGGGAGCTGGAGAAGCCCGCTCCTTTAACAGTTGAGCGTGGCCAGCATTTTCTCAGCCCTTCCCAGGTTCTGGTCTCAGACGGGGCCGAGGGGAGTGGGGGAGATGGCACCAACTGGGGTTGCCTTGCCCAGATCTGCCTTCCTGGGGACTTCGCTGCCGGCAGGTGGGAGGAGGCGCAGCCCAGCGCATGGGGTGACGGCGGGCCAGGCTTCCTTTCCAGATTCCTCTGGTAGAGAAGGCAGGCACAGAGCTCAGAAGGTCAGCACACCTGGGGGGGACACTGGCGTTCGGGTCGTTTCGTCTGCTCTTCCTGAGGACTCTGCCGAAGGGAGCCAGAGTGGTCTTCTGGCCTCTCCAGAACCAAGACAACCTTCGTCGAGGCCACGTGACTTTTTGGGTGCAGCACATCAGGCGTTGCTGTAGATGGAGGATCCTGGACTCTTCCGCCCTGGGTCTGAGAGTGCACATCATGGCCACTTGCTGCCATGCAGTGTCCTTCTGCCTTTGCTTGTCCAGCAGCTGGATGAGCAAGGATGGATGTGAGCACTTGAAAACCAGATTGTAACTGTCTGTTTGCGCATGGGCTGTTTTATTAAAACAACTCAGAAATCTGAGTCATCTTGGAGGTGAATTCTTGCTTACACTTATAGTAAAGAAAGAAGATGAATAGTCAGATAAATGGTTTACTGAGTTCGAGGCATCTTAAAGAGGAAGTGATTGAACCTTGAACTTGCCGGCTCTCCATCCATATCTTTACATGTGCACAGTCGCTGGTTTTTTCTTTCTGCCATGGGGCACAGGCTGTGTTGCTGTGGATTGGCATTAATTGGCGTTTGAAGAAAACAAAGAAGGCAACAGTTCAAAACACAAACACAACCGTACACCCGGCAGGTTTTCCAGTAGTTTATGTTTCCTCTCCCTTGTTATGGAATAAAGATATGCGATGTTCCCTTCCTCGCCTCCAAGGACCTTGCCCAGGCACACTCTCTGGGAATGAGCTCCGTTTCCCATTTCCAGGTTGAGACATTTTCCTCATGGTGCTGGTTTCTGTAGTAATCTGAAATATTCTGGGTGTGTGCTCAGCTTGAAGGCCTTTTGTGCTCCTGGGTTCAGACAATTCTCAGGGATATGTGTAGGATTTTGAGTTGACTATTGTCCACAGGTGACTCAGGTCATAATATAGAAATAACCTGCTTGTCACAACCTTGACTTCTGCAAATGCTGATTTCAGAACACTTAGCTGGACACACTGTGGGACTCAGGCCTCCTGTCGCCCAATTAGCACAGCACATGGATTATGGGGTTCAAGGATGCCTTTCTGTGAGTAGTTTTCGCTGTTGCCAACCAGAGGAGATTTACGGAGGCTATAGCTGAGGGGAGAAGTCAAATATTGCAAAGAAATGAACAGCAGTGTAAAAAAAAGAGAGAGAGAAGTTGAATCAGTTAAAAAAGGTGGGAAAGCTTCCCTCATGGAGACAGCCGAGGCTGTTGTCTGGATTTGCCGCTTCTGGTGTCGGGAGACAGCTACGTGACCTTACGTCAGAACGTGCAGCAACCTGAGATGTTTACATTTTAAACATAATTCTTCCCCCTATTCTTTCTTTCTGGGATCTACTTCTACATCCACAGACTGTAGAAATGACCTACTCCATTTGAAAAGTATCCTGAACAATTTAAGCTGAGACAACACTTGGTTTCTTTCGGGTGGGTAACAAGATCTTATATATCTTCGTAAGATTCTTTTCCAGCAAGGGTCCTCAGAGCATGTATTTAAAATGAATGGCTTTCAAAAAACAAAGCTGTGCTTAACAAAATAGTTTTTAGAAAAATTTAAACGGAGCTTTTACTGAAAGTACAGGAAATGGGTGACAGGCACTTTTCTCTGATAACAGAGCCACATAGCTAGGAGCGCGGAACCAGAGTAGGGACAGAGGCCATGAAGTGCCACCAAGATGGGTCTTCCAACCCTGAGGGCTGCGCTCGCTGCTGTTGGGAGAACACCAGCTTCTCTCCAGCATGCGCCCCCACCCGCGGGTGCTTCCTCACACTGAGCTCTGCTCTGCACCTGGAGACAGGTGACCGGTCGTGACTCTGGCTGGCGGCCTGTTAGGAAGGATGTGATAGACCGAAGCGTTAGGCGGGGACCTCCTTGGCTCCGGTTGGGCTTGCTGTTACGTGGTGCACACCGGTGCATCTCCCCCGGGGAGACTCTCGGCTCACCGGCCACGTTTCATTTGTTCCTGCTTCTGCCATTTCTGTGTAGGCTGTTTCGGCTGCCTGTTCACCCAGTTTACGTAGGAGCCACAGAGATGACCCTCCCTGGTGGCGTGACGGTTAGCAAGCTCCCAGCCGCTTCAGTGCCAGTTCGATGGACACCCTGGAGGTGACCCACAGGGCGCAGCAGACCTCTCCTGTCTCCCCACTGCCCCCCTCTGCAGTGTGCTTCATTGATCTGCCTGTATCTGTACTTTGTCGATCTGCCTGTTCTGCTCCCCACTAGTCTCTGGTGAATCCTCTCTTCACCCCTGTCCCTCTGGCCTGTACCCCACTTCTGTATGAAGGAATGAATGAATTAATGAATGAATGAGAAAACAAATCTTAAAAAAAAAAAGATCCACAGAGAGACTGTCTCTTCCTTGCATTCATGCACATTTTAGGCTGGAACTTCCAAAAGATGTTTTGGTGTTTCAGTGATTAGAAAAGTACAATTCTACTTTCTCAGTTTTCATCCCTCTGAAAGGCTGAAAGGTTAGGAAATTTGTACCCTTTCTTTCCTCTTTTTATTTTTGCTTTCTACTCCTTACACAAAGCGAAACAGGAATTTTTATGCAGGTCCTATTTGGGTGCCCATACACTTACTAAAATGGAAACTTAGCGTATTTAAAACACAAACTGAAAGTGGTGTGTTTTTTAAGATCTGTTTTGTTAGTGAATTGGTTCCCTGACTATCAGTTGAGTATCGAATCCCTGCTGCGGCCGGCCGGATGCTGCCAGGCCTGGGTGTGCAGAGGGAGCCAGTCGCTCACCGCACCGCCGTGGGGGTTTGCTCAGCCGTGGGAGGGATGGGTGAGCCAGCTCGGCCTACACCTGCCGGGCTCAGCAGGGGCACATGAAACCAGGAGCTGGGGTCCGGCCGGGTGGTGTCTGGGGCGCCTCGCGGGAGGTGATGCTGAGGAGAAGTTGGCAGATGGAAAAGGCGCAAGGGAGGGAAGTGTTTTCAGGGGGAGAATGTTCCTACCCGGGATTGTTAGCAAATCGGTTCAGACACATCATGAACTTCCTGCTTTATCGGATATGTGGGTTTCCTAAACCTGGCATTTCATATGAAGGAGCTAAATCCATGTTCATCCACCAAACACAGAAATTAAAATTTAACTCAAACACATTGACATTTTTGCATTCTTTAGAAAGACAGAAACGTAAGAAAAGAAACGCAGTGTATAGTACACGTGAATGTACTAGAGCAAATAGTGTTAGACTTGCGTTTTGGAAATTGGAATTTTAAAATCAAAGATGACGCTTCATCACTCCCAGGAGTGTGTCTGTGTATGAGACAAGAATCCTGTTAGTCATGTCACAGGTGCCTTTGGCTATTTCTAACTCCGGTTGTTGGCTACATTTTCTTAACTCAAGGCATGCGTGTTTTTAAAAAATACCATTTTGCTATGAGCCCTGTAATCTCTGTGGGTTTGTTCTCAGCACCTCTCAATGAGGACATGCCTTTTCTGCTAGAGGGGACCTGTAAAGTGTGCGGAAGTCCTCAGAGCACTCTCAGGAAAATAAAATCGGTATTTCCTTTGTTGCATTTCCTTGCCTGTTAATCAAGATGAATTTCAAGGAGGAAGACAGATGTTTCTCCACTTGGTTTTTATTTAAACGTACCACTTGGGATTTGAAGCTTCTGCACTTCTTCTGTTTGTTTGGATTTTTTTTTTTATGGCTTGATCCCAAAATAATGGAATAAAAAACTTAGTGAAAGCTTTGCTGTTTGAAATCGAAGGGTGCTACAAGAATCACTGCAAATCCCTGATGTCTCCCAGCCAGCCCTCTGTTCTCCAGTTTGGGGTAATAACGTGAGTGGTCACTATGAGGGCCCTGCTGTGTCCACTCTCCGAGCCTCCATGTCCCGAGGCGGTGGCCAAGCAACTGCACGCCCCCCCACCAGCTTGGCTTATGCTCAGACTTTATCTCTCTCAAATGCCACTGCTTGGAATTTGCATAAACGTTGAAGATAAAATTAACAGGGCCCTGCATACCTCCTCTTCATAAATTTTCGGGAACTCAGCCACTCGAGGCATTAAAATGCCTTTTGAGTGAGATCCATACGGACAAGTAGATACCACGATGCAGACGGAGGGGATGAAAGACAAAGGGAATGAAAAAAAAAATCATTTGAAGTAGACAATAGACAGAGGCTTATTTGAGGAGGATGAAAAGCAAGAAGTAATGCCAGTTCCCAACAATGACATGTTAACACAACATTTTGGACGCCGCTGCGATTACCCTGGCCGGGGAGCCGGCTTCATCACTCATGCTCGAGATTCCTGACACCAGGGCACCTTTAAGCCCGTGGTGTGTGGCTGGCGAGACCCCAGAAAACTGGGTAAACGTCTCAGGGAAGCCTTGAGGGCGACTCCATCCAGCGTGGCGGCCCCGAGCCTGCCCCGAGCATGGGCGACTGTGCCGCCGGGCTGGGTAGGTGGACGGCAGCCTGGCCGCAGTCGCCCGTCGGGACGTCTGTCGCCAGCACTGCCGTTCTGCTGTTCATTCATTTGCTCGCGCTGATCAAATGATCAAGATGAGGGACTTGGCGCTCTTCTCAGAGTGCACATTTCTTGGTGTTCTTTTCTTTTTTTTTTTAAAGATTTATTTGTGCATACAGAACTGGGGTACAGGCCAGAGGTACAAGGGCGGTGAGAGGCTTCAGCAGAGACAGAGCGGGGAGCAGAACAGGCAGATCAACAAAGTGCATTGCTGAGGGGAGCAGCGGGCGGGTCAGGAGAGGCTGGCCGCGCCCTGTGGTCACCTCCGGGGCAGGCGGGGATCGAACTCACACTGAAGGGCTGCGGCAGCTCCCAGTGCTGCGTCCTGACCCGTCCTAACCCGCTGCGCCACCACGGAGGGCCCTCCCGGTGTTCCTAAAGTGTGTTCTGAGTAGTAGCAGTCTCCGACGTCCACGCACGGAAGGCATGTGAACATTTGCACTTGTCTTCCAGATTTTGTGTCCCCTTGTAAGTGAGGGAGACACAATGTTGAAATTTGCCGCTTTGCTTTTTGTGTATTTTGGGGAAGAGGATCACACATGCAGAGGGATTTCAGTCAGCCAGTGTTTATTGAGTTAACGGCTTAAGACTAAACTTGAGCAGTGGCTTAAGATGAAACTTCTGGGGAAACGTCATGCTTTGGAGAATGACTGGCTTCTCGCAGTCTATTAAAACATCAGCTTAAATCTCAGTGCTCTGCCTGTGATAAGATTGAGCATTTCATTTTTAACTTGAATACAGAGCAGCTTTCAAGTTCATTGCTAAACTTTTAAGTGTCCTTTCCACATGGGGACAGAAGTAAGCTGAGTGTTGAGACGAGTCTCTCAGAAAGCCTGCTGCACAGCTTTGCCAGGCCCGCCTTAACTTCTCTTTGCGTGGCAGGTAATTCCAGTGTGCAGTTCGCAGCCGTCCCTGAGCAAAGTCCCCAGCGTCCAATTTTGCTTTATTTTTCCACTGTTTATTCAGCAAGATGTTATCTAGCTCCCCTAAGAGCCGTAGTGGGGGGGTGGGGCGGGGGAGCCTCAGGTGGAGGCTCATGCCTGAGGCTGGTTATTCCACCCATGCAGGTCCTTAGACCAGAAGCAGCGCGTCACCTGGGTGCTTGTGAGGAATGCAGGTTCCCAGGCTTCTGGTGGGGTCCGCTCAGCCCGAGACGGGGGTGGCCCAGACAACCCATGTCTCAGCAAGCTCAGGCGATTGCATGCAAGCTGACGTTTGCGAACTGTGGCTCAGTAAATGTTAAAGGTTCAAGGTAGCGTGACCTTAGGGATCAGCAAAATCCTTAATTATTAGCCCTGACAGCCCACCTCCTTTTCAGGGTCTGCCTGTGATTGGCTCACTGAGGCGAGGCAGAGAGTTCCTCGCTAGATTGATTGCCACATATTGACTCTGAGTTGTTTGTATTTCTCTGAACCTGTCACTGTAATGATTTGCCAGGGAGCTTGATAGGAATAGACCGATATATTTTTTCCCCCGCACGCCTGGCTTTCTGAGTCACGGATGGCTGGGCCCTCCGGACGGTGCTCTCGGGGCACCAGGCTTGCCATGCGCCTCGTTTGGGTGGCTGTTGGCTCACCGACAGCCCCAGCTTGGTTCCCGCCGCACCTGCACAAGGCTGGGCTTTGCTGGCCGGGCACGGGGGAGTCCGGGGGGTGGGGGGGGTTGGGCAGGCTGCAGCTCCCCTCCCCGCCCGCCTGTGGGACATTCCTTTCCTCTTTTTTACTTAAAGGGAAAAAGCAAATAGAAGAAAGTCAGGAAGTTCTCATTGAACCTAATAAAAATGTCTAAAGAGAATGAAAAAATCAGTTTGATAACTTTAGTATGGAGGAAATAACCTGACAGTAGCTGTTTTAATTATAGTCGCCGCGTTGGGCTTATCAGTGTGGGAAGAGGGAGAGCTGCAGCCCTACAGGGAAGTGGGATGTGGACGAGATGACCCTCTTCCCCAATCTGC